TGTTGATGTTGAGTTTTTTCCTTTTGATAATAAATTCATTTGAAATATTCGAATACTTTGTGGATATAAGTGTTCAAAATTGGTTTAACCTATACACACAATTGAAATAAAAGCAAAAAAAATAATAAAATAAAAGAAAAAAAAATTATACAATTGTGTTTTATTTAAAAAAAAAAAATTATAAACGCGTTTCAACATTTCGGAATAAATGATATGACAATGAAATTTACATATTTATAAATTCAAACTTTAAGCATAAATATGAGAAACCAATTATCTTAAAAATATTTTCTAAGTTATAAACATTAAATAGTTACGATAGAGATTTTCTGGTTCGGACCCCTAGCAATAACCTTGAACAGCAGTAAAACCTTCTATAATTTACTTTTAGAACAACAAACAGTTAAGTAATTTTGTTTTTCATGTGTTGAGCTTATTACAATAAATTTATGTTCAAATTGAATGTCAATATTAGTAATATCGCGAGTTAACGTGGTAATTTATCTAAAAAAAATATTTCTTAGCTCAAGGTTTATTGATTTAAAACAACAATTGTTGTATTTATAATGTTGCCCCGCGTCCTTTAATTTTAAGAAAAAAAACAATGAAAATGCATTCTATTTAAAATAAATCCATACGTTACGAAAGTCGGAGCAGTCGTAGATGCTAGTTGATACAACAGGGTCAGCTATCTGGTACCTTGAGGCAGAGTGTACATCAATCTTATGTGTCTTTTATGAAGCGTCTATTTGCCGAAGAGTATACACTGTTTAATATTTGCTTTGGAACGTCTCCGGCTAAAATTAATACCATTGGTTACTACCATTTTAAAGTTTGAATGTTTGAACCTACGTGAGTGAGATCGCCATTGGCGGTACTGCTATTAATACCGATAACAATCATTACATAATAGATGTAATTGTTTTGTTTTTTTGCTGGAAGTCGACTCTATTTCGAAGTTGGTCTCTGGGGGGCATGATATCATCCCCCCTCCCCTGCATGTTCTGGAAAGGCAACTTCGTGCTTGTTAGGGCCTACGATGGGGGTGGGGGTGGGGAGAGAAAACAGATGATCCTTTTATGTTTCTCACTGAAATCTACATTTCCAAAGATGCTTTTATTCTTACAATCCAAAATATTCCAACAGCTAAATGATGTGGCTTTATGAGAAAAGTATTGGAGCGTGTATCTTCTTCTTAGAAGAACTGGTTGGGAGAGTGGGGTAGCGGTCGTAGGTTACAGATTTACCTAAAAGCTAAAGAGACACGTGCCTAGGGGCCCAACGACTTATAGGAGCCCCGCGACTTTTAGAGGCCCCGCGACTTTTAGAGGCCTCACGACAAGGGATCCAATTTTTTTAAGACGTAGGGGACTTGATTTGATATCGATTTAGTTTAACTGACACGATGCTAAAAAAACCAGATGTGAATAAAAAGAATCTTGGTACATATTGGGATATCTTGGGACATATTGGGATATCTTGGGACATATTGTCATGACACATCTCGATACATATCAAGTTATACGATTAGGGGAAGAAAGGAGGCGAAACAAGACAAGGGGCCAACAAGACTTGGATAATTAATGGCAGGTTTAGTGTCGAGAGACTCGTCTTTTGACGACGCCTGGGATAAATAGAGACATTGAACCCATCTAAACACAGGGAGATTTATCTAGCGTTGCCCCCTTCACAAAGGTAAGGTACGCTCCTGTGGGAAGAGGATACAACTTTAACTTCATAAGGGACTCCACGGGTCTTAATCCAGGACTGCGGAATAATTTATCCATGTCGCCTATTCGATATAAATTGACTTAATGTATAATAAAAGCACTTTATGAAATACAATTTCAAAAAAAAAGAAAAGTAAAGACAGTCTATTCATATAACTTCACTCATTCTTTCAAAATTTGACTACTGTAACATTCTTCTCTCAGGCATTCCTCAACACCACATAGAAAAACTTCAGAAGGCACAGAACTCAGCATGCAGACTCATTTTTAAATCAAAGAAACATGACCACATTCAACCACACATGCGGCAACTCCACTGGCTTCCAATATCCTCTCGCATCAAATACAAGTCTGCCAATCTTTGCTTCAACTCGTTCACTGACCCTCACTTTCCTGTCTATCTCTCTGAACTGTTGCTTCCTTACATCCCCACAAGACAACTACGTTCTTCCATTGACAGTAGAACCCTCTCAATCCCAAGAACTAAAACTAAGACCATCGGTGAACGCTCCTTCTGCTTCCATGGGCCCACGTTCTGGAACCAGCTCCCCTTCCATATACGTCATAGTGAAACCTCGTCCATTTTCAAAAAGTCCCTTAAAACTCATCTGTTTAGGTCCGCCTATGACCTGTGATGCACCCTCCTTGCCCTACCTCATTTTCTGTTTCGGGTTGATCCTGAAGTGTCAAAGTGTCCTCGTTTTATAGCCATTTTCATTGTTTCTATAGAATAGTAGTTACTATCCTAGTGTCTCATTTGTATTTACTTAGTTTACATGTTTTAATAATTGTAAAGCGCTTAGAGCTTTATGATAAGCGCTATGTAAAAATGTCTAAATAAATAAATAAATAAATAACTGGGGATTTATGTTAGAATGAATTTGGAATAGGCGACAACGAAATTGTATTTTTTATCATGTTTAAGGGATTATTGAAAATGAGAAAACTTAGTGAACACTAGACTGAGATTTAAACCTGGAAAAAAGCTTAACACCAAGGCGGGAAAACTTAATAAACCGGGACTATCCCGGTCAATCCGGCACACATAGTAAATCACACATATCACAATTTTTGGGGGTTACTTTGCAAGGTTACATTTAGAGTCTTAATTTCGCTTCTAATGTAAAGTTTTCAATCATTCTATTGGTAAGAATGCGAACACTAAAAACCCGGAGTGTACCTTTACATCCTTCATATTGTCCTTAAAAAACTTGCAGATGAAGAGAAAATTCAAGAGCCCGCATCACACACACCAAATAGATTTACAATAGGGCTCACCGGTTGACCGTAATAATAATCTCAAATAGGTACATATAGTTTGTATTTTTTTTTTTATATAGATACGTTTTGAATTGTTCCGGTCTCAATCACAGTTAGGCGAGTATAGTTTGGCTTTTGGATACATGAGTTTTCAACATTTTGTCAACAGTAGAACTTGGTTGATATTACATACCATATGTAATGCAACTTGGCCACTATTATGTGTGTAAGATAATAGTGGAACAAGGTAAATAGAAGCTTGAAATATAAAGACAGGTCAATAAAAGCTTGAAATATAAAGACAGGTCAATAAAAGCTTGAAATATAAAGACAGTTCAATAAAAGCTTGAAATATAAAGACAGGTCAATAGAAGCTTGAAATATAAAGACAGGTCAATAAAAGCTTGAAATATAAAGACAGTTCAATAAAAGCTTGAAATATAAAGACAAGTCAATAAAAGCTTGAAATATAAAGACAGGTCAATAAAAGCTTGAAATATAAAGACAGGTCAATAAAAGCTTGAAATATAAAGACAGGTCAATAGAAGCTTGAAATATAAAGACAGGTCAATAGAAGCTTGAAATATAAAGACAGGTCAATAGAAGCTTGAAATATAAAGACAGGTCAATAGAAGCTTGAAATATAAAGACAGGTCAATAAAAGCTTGAAATATAAAGACAGGTCAATAGAAGCTTGAAATATAAAGACAGGTCAATAGAAGTTTGAAATATAAAGACAGGTCAATAGAAGCTTGAAATATAAAGACAGGTCAATAAAAGCTTGAAATATAAAGACAGGTCAATAAAAGCTTGAAATATAAAGACAGGTCAATAAAAGCTTGAAATATAAAGACAGGTCAATAGAAGCTTGAAATATAAAGACAGGTCAATAAAAGAAGAAAGGTTTGGCCTAGAGTCTTCCTCGGCTACAGGACGAATGAAAAAACATTCAGAACTAGAAAATTCTTCAACAGTGGTGAGTGTGAGTATGCCGGAAGTTGGGTTTTCCAAAAACCAAGATTACAGGAAGTAAACAAAAAATACGTAGAATTTCTGTGGAAAAAAAAAGGGTTTTAACGGACAAAAATATGTTGGAAATATGTAAAATAAAAGAAATGAAAAAAAAAATGCTAGGAAATGTATTATCCATCGTGTGAGTAAGAAAAGTTCTCAGTGTGGTGTTTCTTATGAATAGTTGAACATGTAAATTTGAGGCCTCTGAAAATGAAGCCTATGAAAAAATTCTCCCTGCAGCATATGGTCTCCTACCCCGCTTCCTATAAGAAAATATAGCATTACGCTGAAATTTGACGCCAGCAAGCTTCTCAGGACTTCTCTACCCGTTGGTCTAGCGGACTTCCCACGATGATACCACGTGGCCTCTAGTTTGACGATGTGGTACCCTGGGCGAACTCACAAAATTGCACCCCTCAAGAAATCTTTTTAAACAACATTGGTAATTAACGTTGTTTTCTTCTTCAAGTTCAACCCGTGACGGTGACCCTCTTCATCCCTGTTGGGCCTCAGGTTTTCACACTTCAAAAATTTGGTAGGCCTAATTATTAAAACACACAGAAATCCCGAGTCTTTGGCTAACAATTGTTTTCTGGTGAAATAAAGTTTGATTTGAGATAGTCTCGTTTATTTGAAATATAATCAATACTGAAACGTCGAATGATGAACAAGTCAAACAAATATATAAAACATAACGTAAGTTTTCCAAGTCTTTATAACATAAGGTGCAAATATAACATTAGATAGAATACAATAGACAAGTCTGATACGTCTTTTGGCGATATTTAAATAAATAAGTAGTTAACAAAATAAGCTTTTAATAAAAAGAAAAAAAAAATTAAATTTAATTTTAGATTAAACAGAAACTAGATAAGAATAATGAATCAAACAGATAACAGGTCTCTGGACCTAGGTACCCCGGGTATACCTGGACCGCTGATCAGTCGAGAAGTCTTTGAACTCTCTCTTGAAATTCTCCACGTGCCGCTTTTCTTCTTCACCCTCCTAGGCATCGTCACCAACATCATCAACATCCGGGTATTTTACCATCAGGGCGTGACGTCAGACAGCACAACGGTCGCTTTTGTCGCGCTGTCCGTCTCTGATCTCCTGGGCTGCATCTTCATGATACCGCAGCCGCTTTGCTTCTACTTCGAGGCCCACCTGAAGTCGGACGATATTTTCTTCAGAAACTGCTACACGCTTACCTTAATGCCGTCCACCTACCCTCACCTGATATTGCACAAAATCACCTGCTTCGTCACGGTATACATGTCCGTGGAGCGCGCCATCTGCGTCATATTTCCATTTAAAGTCAGGCGCATCATCAAGGTAAAAAGCACGATTTTCATCATGATAACGATATACGTGCTTATCATTGTATCCTATGCGCCTTACGCGGCCAATGTGTCCATCTCGTGGATGGCGGACCCCGCACGGAACGAATCACTAAAAGCGGTCAACGTTATTACGCCTCTTGGAATAATCTTCACGACAACCAACAGTCTGTTCCATTCGTTAATATTGACCACATCCGCCATGATCGTTGTTTTCGTAACAACAGTCGCCATGGTGACACGTCTCAAGGCATCCATGAAATGGCGGGAAATGGCCTCCACTACTACTGGGTCAAGCGGTCAGAAGTACACAAGAGTGGCCAGGAATGTGGAGTCTGTGAAGATCGTCACGGCTATCACGTCCGTGTACCTCGTCTGTCTGTTGTGTACGCACATCCCTTCGCTGGCGTCCATCGCCATCCCGGGAATGACGGTCAACGGGTACAACCAGTTGCTGAATGACGTCCTCTACACCCTGAAATTCGACTTCGACGCCTTCAACTCGTCTGTCCCCATGTTCTTTTTTGTCAGAATGAGCTCAAAGTATCGCAAGACTCTCCTTGATCTCTGGAAAAGGCAGTAGAGACTTGAGTGTTTGTAATGTCCAACTCGAAATATTTTTATTCGAGTACCTTTTAGAAATTTTGATAGGGTGATAGGGCAAAGCAGGTGATAATATTAAATGGCTTGGATTTTAAAATTAAATTAATACCGGTAACACAAATCAATTAAGTTGTAGGTAAAAATAGCGATGGAGGATAGAAATGTCTAATAAAGCAGGTTGCTGGGTTGTACAGTGTACTTTTTATGTTGGATTTGCTTTGATCTCGTATTTAAAAAAATAATGAATGAAATAAATACTGGCTCGTTACAATTTGTATAAAAAAAATAATACAGTAAAGTTATGTATTTGTAAACAAAATTAACACAGTAAGGTTATGAATATTTTAGAAACTAATACAGTTATGAATTAGTAAAAATTAAATCAGTAAATTAATGACTTTGTAAAAAAAAATTATACATTAAATTTATTAATTTGTAAAAAAAAAATTAAGACAGTCAAGTTATGAATTTGTAAAAATATTAATACAGTAAATTTACGAATTTCTGTCGACGAGAAAATAATTTTCAGTCAGCTATTGAAGAAAAAAGGAAGCTTGAAGAAATATTATCTATTTAACATCAGTTTCTAAGGACTCTGTTGTAAAATTTAATAACACAAGTCTTAATTAAATTTATTTTTGTTTTACTTTGAGATGATAATGAGCAAAATGGCGACCTCTATAAAATCATCTCTTTTAAAACATATTTTTTTCAATTATTTTTGTTAATTTCATTTGACAAATGTTTGTATACTATTTTGTTTTTGGTGTTACAATATCTAGTTGTCAACGTTAAAAAAAAATCAATTATTTTTATTCATATTAACAAATTATGTTTTTTATTTGTAATTCATTTAATAAATCGCTGATCCTTTGTAATAAATATTTTATTGATAGAATTTTAAGAATATCAATAATGAAAAAGGATAAAACATTAATTTATTGAGGGAAACAGATATTTTATATATTATATAAGCTTTTCGATGATAACTTCATTATGAGAAAAGTGTGCTGTAAAGCAAAAAGTGTGACCATGTAACACTGACTTATGAATCAGATGACCCACTGTCTTATGAATCAGATCACCCACTGTCGTCTTTGTTTACATTGTACTTGTCTTATGGATCCGTACTCCTGCTAGAAAGAAATCTCTTTACAGGTCGATGTATTTCTATTAAGCCAATTAAATTAATCCTGACAAGTGAGCCTGTCCATTTAAACGGCAACTGCTAACTCAATACTTTCTTTGGTTAATTTTTTTGGCATTCTTATCAGTTTTTATATCCATCAGCAACACACATGATATTGCTATTGAAATTATTCAAATCTGTTGAACAGCTTACAAAATGCCTGGATTTTGTTTCATTTCAATGATATATAGTTCAATAAATCAGATATACAAGTGTAGGCTAAAAACATGAGCAGATCTACAACAAGATTTTATACTTTATAACATTGTAGTAACTGTCCTGCAATTGGTGAATCTCATACGGGCACCATACACGGACAACAGTACGAGGAGCAAAACAGGGGGGAAACAGCTGCAAAAAGAGCGAGGAGGAAGGCTGGTAAATACACGCATTCGTTTGTGGGAAATGTAACAGAGACTGCCACTCGAGGATTGGTCTCACCAGCCACACCAAGAGCTGCAAGCAATAAAGATAATCTATCGTCTCCCGTAGACGGAAAGATGTCATACATACATTGAAATAATAAATTCAATTGCCATTTATATAACAGGTTTCCTATGGCCATCATACATCTATTGTTAGTTGAGTAGCTTCACCATAACCTGTAACCATTACTGACTTATTTCACCTGCTTATTGTCAGTTGTCTAATGTATTGTGAACCTGTACTATTTGTATCTTATCAGATATTGTCCTTGTTCTTCGAACTTTTTCTTACGATTTTTTTCTTTGAACTTTTTCTTACAACACTCTAAGAACCAATAAAAAGGCTATAGTCATCAAGGCCTGTTTAACTAATTATAAAGAGTCGGACTGCAATAAAGCTTTAAAATTGATTAATTAATATTGACACAAATTGTTCGTGCCTAATTAATTCATCACGACCTTAATTTCTTTAACTTATAAGCTTGACATATATTTGAAAACTGTCAGCGGTCTCTCCACCACACAGCTACATCTATACTTCACGTGTGGATTCATTTGCCTGTCTCTCCACCACACAGCTACATCTATACTTCACGTGTGGATTTATTTGCCTGTCTCTCCACCACACAGCTACATCTATACTTCACGTGTGGATTTATTTGCCGGTCTCTCCACCACACAGCTACATCTATACTTCGCGTGTGGATTTATTTGCCTGTCTCTCCACCACACAGCTACATCTATACTGTGTGTGTGGATTTGTTTTCCTGTCTCTCCACCACACAGCTACATCTATACTGTGTGTGTGGATTTATTTGCCTGTCTCTCCACCACACAGCTACATATATACTGTGTGTGTGGATTTATTTGCCTGTCTCTCCACCACACAGCTACATCTATACTGTGTGTGTGGATTTATTTGCCTGTCTCTCCACCACACAGCTACATCTATACTGTGTGTGTGGATTTATTGTATAACTGTTCCATATCTCAAGATTTTCAGATACACTTAAGACGTTGGGCGAACTTTGATGATGGCCACGGTGGTGGATGCTCTGAAGATGCTGCAGACAGTGATGGACACTATGGAGCTGATGCCGACAGTGGTGGACACTAATGAAGACGGGTGACTAGGCCGATGGCAGTGGGGTACAATTGTTTATTTATTATGACTCCCTTTTAATTCCACCCCCTGTCTTGACATGACATTCTATATTTAATTTTACTTAGCTGGTGGGGTTGCACAGGTTCATTGGCAAATGATCGGTAACCGACCTCGAGACTATACCCACTCTAAAACATGCCCTTCCCTCCTCCCGCCCCTCCACCGTTATCTTCTAAATTTTTTTTTGTTCGTTTCTGCGACATCGTCAGTATATGCAAAATGACTGGAATGGTCCAAAATATTTTCATTGCCTTTAAAACTCTGCACCCTGTCCTCCTTTCTTTTAACTCAGACTTAATATTGTTCATAATATTTGGCATCTTTTTTTAGATAATTATATTTTTTTAAAACACAAAAATTGACCATTTTAAAATAATTTTTACCTTTACGATAATTTAAATAAATATTTGCAGTGAAAAAATTGTGTCTAAACAGTTTTTCCCTGAGTGCCACTAAGCCTGTTAAATTTAAGTTGACAGTTGCATGACGTCAGCCTTAGAAGGAGCGTAAGTGATACGCTCCTCAATGACACACTACTGGCCATTTTTACTTGTTGATTCAAAATTGACTTTGCAACGTGAAAGAATATGCTAGCCATTGTGGCGCTGGTGATCAGAGCCTAAACCAGGGTTTCCAAACCATATCTGTGTTCTGCACCCCCTAAAATGTTTCTTTTAACCAGCCATGAGCTCAGTTTTGAAATTTGGAAAAATTGTGCTTCTTTTCCGTTTACTGATTGACAACGATAATAATTTACTTCTTTTCTGTTTAATGAATTAAATAGACTGGACATAGAGAAAAGCATAACTTTAAAAATGTAACTGTTTCTTTTTACAAAAAAAAAAAAAAAAAAAAATATATATATACAAGTTTGGAAAGTTTAACAAATCATCAGTTATACCAAAACGGAAAAGTTGATGCTTCCCTGTTCCTAAATTAAACTTCATACCCTTGAAAAGCCACCTCCAACTGTCTGGTCCACCTCAGGTTGCGAAACCCTGACCTATATATAACCTTGCTAGGTGCAAATTTGTGGATGACTGTGTAGCTCCTAATCCCTTTAGCACAGTATTTTTCCAAACTTTTCTACAAAAGGGGGGGGGGGCAATAGAAGTGAGAACATCTCGTAAAATGTGATTTAATCACATCCAAATTTAGTTTAACTATACCCATACTAGCATTACACATGTGGCCACCGAACAGCCCAGATTTAAAGCCAGTAGATTATGCCCTATGCGGTGCTTTGCAAGAAAAAGTCTACCTTCGGCGAAAATTTATCACAGTTGAGCAGCTCAAGTTGGCAATAATGGAGGAATGTCGAAATCTTGGGCAACGTTTCATTGACGACGCTTGGAAAAGTCGTTGAGAAGCAAGGAGGACACATTGAACATGAGTTCTGATTAGCTAAATATTTTGCGAAAAAAAAATTCCATGAAGAATTATAATTAATTAAATTATATTTTGAAATAACTCATTTGCTACGAGATGTTCTCACTTTTATTGGCCCACCCTGTATAGATGCCCCCCTAGTCACCTAAATAGGTTGAATGTCTCCCCTCCGTCAGCGGAGTTAAAAACATCAGAACCTGTCTAGCTCTGCTTCCCCATAAAATTTCAAAAGATCCCTAGCTCTTTGAGTCAGTATGTCCCCCATAATCTTTAAATTGCCCAAGTGGGGTGTACGCCTGACATCAGGAGATACAGCCTAACCAATATAGTACCTTTTAATTGTGATTATGTATTTTATAATAATATAAATATTAATTATAAAATAGTTTAATAAACTATTCTATGTATAATTAATTCCCATAATAGGCCTTTCAGAGCTAAGTGATAAATAACTTGTGGCCAATTAATTAATTGGCAAAAGTGGTCGATTAAACACAATCAGCCTTTTCGCTTATCGTTGCCAGGAAATAAAAGGAGCCAAAATGATCAATAAATTGATCGTGGGCCCTTAATATATAGATGAAGAAGAATAGTTGGGGAGTGGGGTATGTTAG